GACCGACCCACTGACTGTGAACATTCTAAACTAACACGAGTCTCATTAAGTGTCCAGTTTAAGGGTATTACACAGAAACATACCAAGGGGACATGAATCAAATATGTATCTTTATTCATTTACAATAAACTCATAAAGTACATCATTCTGATTGAAGATAAGGACATACAAAACTGTCTAACATGAAGGGGGTGATTGCAATTACCAAACTTCAAGGAAGTTTTTGCAATGGTCCAAAATGTAAGGGGAAATTTCATCAATTTAAAGAAAATTGGGACGAGTATTTGAAACATCCCATAACTTAGGGGGTTATTAGAGTTAACTCAAAATTAAAACAAAGAAGAAAAAACCCTTGAGCAGTCGAGCATGCTCTTACAAAGTGAAATCCAACGCCACCATGAGAGGAAGCATAGGAGGAAGATTAGCGAGTAGCAGTAGCAGTAGCAGCGCCAAACAGTCCCTTTATCTTTCTTCCTCTGCTTTCTCCACATTTTCCGGCGGAGGCGGCAGGGGTCGAGGACGTGGTCGAGGTTCAGGTCCCTTCGACTCTCCAAGCTCCTCTCAGGTTTCCCCTCGGACCCCCGGAAAACCCGATACTACCGGTGCCGACGACGCCGAAGCTGACGATTCTTTCCTTCCTTCCGGCCTTGGTCATGGCAGAGGTAAACCAATTCCTTCGACCCCAATTCTCCCTTCATTTTCTTCATGGGTATCTGGCATGCGTCCTTCTGCTGGTCGTGGCGGCCGTTCTACCCAGCAGCAATCCGATTCACATCCATCCGAGCCTCAAGATTTTCAACCCAAGAAACCAATTTTCTTTTCTCGGGAAGATCCACAGGGGCCATTGACCCAGAATCCTCCTATTAGCGAACCTGGTCGAAGCCCGGGGGGGATTGTTCTTCCGTCAAGTCTTTCGTCGGGGTTACCTGGTGCCGGACGCGGAAAACCGCCAAAGCCATCGTTGGGCCCCAGTGAGACTTCTGTTAGCGAAGAAAATCGACATCTTCGGCCGAGAAGAGAGGGAGTTGCTGTTGGGTTGCAGGATAGGACTTCTCCAAGCCCGCCAAGGTTGAGCCGCGAAGACGCAGTTAAGAAGGCGGTCGGAATTTTGCGTAGAGGAGGAGATGGTATGGAAGAGGGGGGAAGAGGAAGAGGAACTAGAGGAAGAGGTGGTCGAGGACGTGGAGGAAGAGGAGTGCAAGGCTGGAGAGGAAGAGGTGGAAGGTCTGGCGGTCGATTCCGTGACTTGGAGGATAATTATGGAACTGGTCTTTATCTTGGTGACAATGCCGACGGGGAGAGGCTGGCTAATAGACTAGGAACGGAGAATATGGATAAGTTGGTTGAAGCATTTGAAGAGATGAGCTACAGTGTGCTTCCTTCACCAATGGATGATGCTTACTTGGATGCTGTCCATACAAATAATCTGGTCAGGATTCATTGTTTTGATCAAATGTGGTTTTAATTGATAAGTTGATGATAGTTGGGTTTTATTGATTGTGGATATTTCTTGCTTGCAGATAGAGTATGAGCCAGAGTATTTGATGGGGGACTTTGAGACAAACCCGGATATTGATGAGAAGCCTCCAATTCCTCTTAGGGATGCTTTAGAGAAGGTGAAACCATTCTTGATGGCTTATGAGGGAATTCAGAGTCAAGAAGAGTGGGAGGTTTGTATGTCCAATGTCCATGATGCATATTCCAACAAACTGGCCATGCCAATTCCTATTCTCTACTCCCGCAACTTTTACTTTTCTTTGTTTGGATTGATTGCATTCCTTTTATATGCCATAATTTTATCATTTTCTTATAATAGTTACTTTTACATTTTATTGTTCAATTTCCCATTGGCTTTCTGATCATGATATGTTCAATTTTGCATTTTTGTGTCTACTCAAAGGCTATTCTTTTTAACTATCAACTGTTCATGTGAAACAAGATCTTTCTATAATATATTCTCATGTTGCATAAATGCATTGTATTTGTTCACACTGTCTTTTTCTTTTCTGTTTTTATTTTTCTTTATCATATTTTACTTTTGGTTTTGTGCTTAACAGGAATCTAGATACCATTGGAAATGGCCAAATAATACATTTTATGCTCCTGAATATGCTGGTCTCTAATTTATAGAATTTGAACTTCATCTTCTTTTGAATGAATGTATAGTGAAATTTGAAGTTCAGATGCTAGAAGTGATGCCATAGATTTTTCTGCACTTTTATTCAAAATGGTTTGTTGGTATCCTTGTTTAAAGTGACATTCCTGTTCATATGACTATGCATTATGAATTGTTTCCAGTATCCTTTGATGTTTATTGTTTTTTCCTGTATGCTTTGTTGTTTTCAGTATGGATTGTCATTACACTCTTAGCATCATTTAATGGGCATTGTCAACATGTCCAGTTGTCATTGGCATACAACAAGATGGAATGAAAAAATAAAAAGAAAAAAGAGGAAGTTATAGTCTGGTCCTATTTGGGGAATATGATCATGGTCTCCTGTTAGTAGTTTGAAACATTTCTCTGCTAATGTTATTGCTGTATGCTAGCAATTTATTTACCCACTTTGATTTTGTGTTTGTAATTTGTATGATTATAGGTGAATTATCACATTTTTAAACTCCAGATGTTTGAAGCTAATTTCCTATCTATCCATCTGTCCAACTTCAAATCTTCAACCATCCAAGTTAACCCATTTCATACCCAAAGGACATTTGAACCAACCACTCTTCACATAATACAAAGGGAAGTTTTTTTTTTTTGATAAATGAATGGTATTTTATTCAAAGGAAACAAAATGATGTTACAATGCAGACTGCCCGAGGAGAGGCACGAGCTGGTACCTCTCCTCAACAACAACAATGTACTACATCAGACTCGGAAATGAAAGTTTACAAGGCTGCCCAGAATAAATTTTCCCTTGATACCCCTTACTTAGCTAACCCATCCGCTATGGTATTAGCTGTTCTACCCACCCATAGAGAATTTACAGTCATGTTCCTTGAAAACCAATTAACTTTCCTCATAATGTCCTTGTAGCACCAAATAACTGAATCTGGATTTTTTAACCAACCCACAACAACTTTGGAGTCTCCTTCAATAAGCAAATTCTGAACTCCTAACTGATCTGCAATCTGAATACCTTGTACCGCCGCTAGAAGCTCAGCTCTAATAGAGTCTCCTATACCCACGGAGCCTGAGAATAAAGCTAAGATATTGCTGTTTTTATCTCTCAGCACCCCTCCTATCCTTGAAAGACCTGGATTAACTTGTCTGCTACCATCGAAGTTCAGCTTTGTCCAGCCTTCAGAAGGAGGCACCCACACAGCTGGTACCCTGTTCTTCCTAGTACTGCTACTAGCCACAACTATCCAATTCCTCCAAATGTCATCAAAGGAATGTATTTTAAAGGAATCCAATGATCTCAGCCAATGGATTGCCTTGGTCAAAATACAATACTTTACAGTCTGAATATTTCTCTCATTATCTTGGAAAATCCTCGCATTTCTTTCTTCCCAAATTGTCCACAGAGCAGCAGCTCTAATGCTCCTTCACATTGTTTTACCATTTTTTGTGGGCCACACAAAGAAGGAAGGGTCAAAGAGCTGATCTACAGTTGTAGTCAAATCCCACCTGCACCCAAACAAGGCAAAGATCCAACCCAAATAGCATTAGAAAAAGAACAAGTTAAAAGTAAATGAGAGCAATCCTCACCATTAGCCCTGAAAAGTACAAACCAGTTAGGAGACAAACACATGGAAAGCCTTCTCTTCTGCAATAAGTTTGAAGTGTTGATTTCCTATTGAACACCTCCCAGCAGAAAATAATAATTTTAGGAGGTACAGGTCTAGACCAGATCTCCTTAGCTGGAAAAACCATCTGTCCCGAGGAAGAGCAAAAGGACTTAAAGGAGGCACACGTGAAGTAACCTTTTGGATTAGGGGACCAAAGTCTTACATCAGATCTGAGAGGGTCCAGAAAAACACTTCCAAGTAGTGACAAAAGGTTTGAAACACAAGAGAGTTCATGATCCCTCAAGCCCCTACGAAACCCAAAGTCCCAATTCAGAGAGGAAGGAGAAACAGATGTTGGAAGAAAGTGTGAGATTGCTTTATTATTGTAACAAGAAAGGGAATAAAGAGAAGGGAAACTGTCCTTGAGGGCAGAATTGCCCACCCAGATGTCTTCCCAAAATAAAACAAAAGTACCAGGATTGACATCATACCTGATAAAGTTGAGGAAAAAAGGGAGGATACTTTGAATTTCTTTCCAAGGAGTTGCCAGCGTGGCTCGACGGGATACACCAGCATCCCATCCATTTCCCGAACTGCCATGTATACTATCTATCACCTCATGCCACAACCTCTCCTGTTCTAAGGCCAAAGGAAAGTTTTCACCATTCGAACATATCAATTCCTTGAAATCCATCCAAGTCTAGGTTACTTGTGGATATTTCAGAAAGCATGAATTCCTAATTCTTAACATGAATTTTTGTCTCATCAATGTTGAAATCAAGGTTTGATACTTAAATATGTAGTTGTTCAGGTTACTCAAACATCTTCCTCTCTTGGTGATCTAAGAATGACTTCTGTACTACATAAAGATCCCTGTAAGCCTGACTTTTATTCCATTGATAATGCTCCTAATATGACCTGAAACCATACCATCTTCCAATCTAGGAGTTCAAAACCTCTAATAGAAAGTGCTAACGAAGGAGTTGTTCTTGCTAAACATCTTTGAGCATAGTTCCTTTCATCTAGTTCAAAACAAGCATGCATAAAAAATACCTATTTTTTTGCATGCTTGACCAATACACCAGAAGCCTTAAGACTGATGGAACACATTAAGCCAAGCCGTCTGACCTTTATGACTGTAATGCCACCATAGTTCTGTAGCCAAAATCTTGGTGGCTCTCACTCTGGTGGTAGGTTGCCCTTTCCATGACTGCTCTCGCTTTGGTGGCAGGTAACCCGTTCCCTTTGGTGGCATTCACTTCACTCTAGGTAGAGCTTTATATGATGGCTTTTACTCTTCTCCAGTATCCCTTTTTGTGATTTGAACTTGAGACATGGTGGTATGCTCTGATACCAATTTTTACGTGCTTAACCAATATGAAAAATGCCTTAAGACTGAGGGAACATGACAAACTAAGCTGGTTAACCTTTAGGACCTAATATATTCCCTTGATAATACCAAATGGGAAAGAAAGAAACTTTTATGTCCCCGGATTTTCACAAAAATTTCTTTGGTTGTTAACAGGAAATTGCTTCCTGATGAACATGTAGAAGGTTTTTTTTCTTTTCCCTTTAAGGGATCCATATCTACTGAAGTAGGATTAATTTAGAAATCTTCATCATTCTCAGTTTTGGGAATCACATTTGTTGATTCAGAAGACTCAGCAGCCTTTAACTTTTCTTCCACAGTCTGTTTGCCCTCGAGGGGTTCTGTGTCTTCTGTTTACTTAGTTTCCCTAATTGTACGCGTGTCCAACTCAAGGTTCAAAGTATCAATATCATTTTCTCTATGTTGGTCTTATCATATCGTATCTTAGAGTTACCGGTCTAAATAGAAGGAATTAGGACATCTCACCACTTTTAAAGGTTAATATCCCTCTTGTAGATGTCCTGACTCAATTCTTGAACTTTAATTTTTTCTATCTAAGCATTTTTTCTGTTTGAAATGCCTGATGTGCTAAAAATTGCATATCAAGCATGTTGATTCTTTGAACCATGGTTCAGCTCAGTAGTCTTGATACATAGGGAAGGTTCAGCTGGATCACCCATGTCTTTGGTTTCAACAGTTTCAATGCTTATTGGAAGGTTTTTCCTTTAAAGGATCCGTATCTACTGGATAAGGAATAATTGAGAAACCTTCACTGTCCTTGTTTCATGAAGTGCATTTGTTGGTGTAGAAGACTTGAGGGCCTATGATGTTTCTTTGACAGACTGGTGATCCTAGAGAGRTGYTATGTCTTCTGTTACCTTTGTAGACTCCCCAATTGGGACAYGRATATCCTACTTGTTAAAAGACTCCCCAATTGAGAAACCTTCACTGTCCTTGTTTCATGAAGTGCATTTGTTGGTGTAGAAGACTTGAGGGCCTATGATGTTTCTTTGACAGACTGGTGATCCTAGAGAGGTGCTATGTCTTCTGTTACCTTTGTAGACTCCCCAATTGGGACACGAATATCCTACTTGTTAAAAGACTGTTAGTATTACTCAGATTAGTACCACAGGGGTACTGTTGTAATTTCTTCCTTTCTTTTATTTGTTTATGTCGCCCTAATATAAATACTAAAAGCTGGTGCCGCCAGCCTCACTTTTGGCTCTCAAAATCTTTTTTCTCTCTTCTCTCTTCTCTCTTCCTTCTCTTCTTCTCATCTTCTGGACAATATGGTATCATAGCGGGACTATTAGATCCGGAAGGAGATTGAGCAAGTATTCTTTTTCTGTCTTCTCTCTTCACCAGCTACTGTTGGTTTTATTGAAGATCCTGAGTACAGAATCGGACTGTTCCAGAAGTAGGTTCACTCTATTTTTTTTTTTAATTTTTTTTTTCTGGTCGTGTACCAGGACAGAACCTGTAATAGGTTCACTTAACTGATCTGAGGTGATCAGCACCTCTTCTTTCCTTTTTTTGTGGGATCAGTTGATCCCTGTGATGATTTGTAGG